TCTCGGACGAATATAGTTGATCAGGCTATATTCCTCCCAGATTTGATTGCATATCCCAAGGCATAATCACAGTGCACAACTCCTCTATTTTTAACTTTCGCATTTTCCTTAGACGTGACACTATACCGGTATGCATGTATGTACTTATACTTTTTCATAAGAATAACATGTTATTTTTAAAAGTATAATTGTAGGGAAAACATTTAATCAGAGAATCTTAGTCCCTTTGTGTTTATAGTTTGTATATCTTATATGGTTTGATATACTATGTTCACTATAAACAATGCTCTTATACCAATCTGTCACACCCCCAAACCAAGGATGGCGGAAACGTCCGCGGGTGGGAATGACTTCATGTATAGTATCACAACAATGAGTATAATAGTGCTCATAGTAAATACAACCATCATAAATATAATTGAAAAAGTTACACCATAGTATGAGTTTACATGTTTCAAAATCAATTACACTATGATGGCAAAAATGAAATGTTTGACGATTTAACGTCCCATCCTCAAAAGCTGTTGATTTCCTGTTTCACTGATTTCCTGAGAATACAAGTAATTTTAAAAAAGTGTCAACAATTAAGTTGGTGAGTTCATAAGCTTTTGGATGTAGTGTTAGAAAACCCTTGTTTGTAAATGTAATGTATGCACAAGAAAAATCCAATATTTTCCTTATAAAATGTTATGTAGTCTTAAATCCCAAGACCGAATGTATGAGTGTGTTTCGTAGTTGTAACGAAGAATGCAGTTTTAAATAGATAAAACCCTTTTCAAAGTAGAATTTCCCATAAACTTTAAGTATTATTAACTCCCTATGTGAATCGCTATAACCATACTACAACTGGATGACCTGTTACAACGTTTTTCAGACGTTAGAATTGTTATGACTTTTGTCACCCGTAGACCTACAGGTCCCGCTGTAGCTAGCAGCTAGGTGTGGGGTGTCAATCCCAATATAGATCTATACATAATTATCACGCTCTCCCTACAAGAGACTCTGGTTATAACTTACAGGAATTTCTAACCCGTACTCTAAGAGTACAATTGAAGAATTGTCTCACAACTTACGTTAACGAGTTTACGTGTGGTTTGAATGTAAAACTTTTTCTGTGATGGAAATAAATCCCCTTTTTATGTAATATGTTTTAAATGTACAATCCATAAACTACACTTATTATAATATATCGTGTGGTAAACGAAAACTCATTTATATTGAGAGTAAAACCTTTTTCAGTGTAAGTAGTATGTTTTGCAAAGCATAATTATACTTCTTATGTTTCATCTTGTATGTTTGTAATGATAAAGAACTCTTACAATTCAGTGAGTAATTTCTATTATTTAAATGTAACTTAACAGAAAAACACATGTAAAATATAAAGTTATCAAAGATAAACACTTTGCTCAACATGTTACAAAGTGTTATGAAAGTTGAAATCTGTTAACTAGTTTTTACTCTTTCTGCACTGTTTTAGAAAAATCATACGAAGTCAAAAACTAAATCCGTAAACTCTAAGAGTTTAGAAAATATGTCTAGTTTATTCATAATTTTTCTTATGATTTTTAGAAGTCTCTAACTTGTGTGAAAATGTTCATATTCACAGACTGGTCCGAATTCGTTTCTGAACTGATAGACAGTTGTACAAAAATCACCATAAATTGTAGAAAAATCATATGAAGATGTGCAAGTAGTCATTAGAAAGTTATTAAACCTGAACTACTTGCATATTACACAGTTTTGAAAGATATTAAGTTTAAGATGGTCAAAACAGTCCGTGAATAGGACTCAACTTTTCTGTGAAAAGTTGAAGTATGAGTTTGAGTTATATTAAGGTGTGTTAACTTGTATTCCCCCCCCCCCCCCCCCTAAAACTTGAAGAAAACATGAAAATGTAGGGGTATAAACTCACCTTGAGTGATTTTCTGAGATGAATGTGGAAGAAGAGAGGTTTCCAAGTCAAGAACACTTGGTAAATGCTTGGAGGGTTGAAGATCTAAGAACAAATATGGCGATATTTGTTATGAGAGATCCATAATTTGAGTGAAGGTGTGAAGAATGTTCAAATGTAGGATGAAAATAATTACCAAAAGTGAGTGAAAAGCTATATATCAGCCTTGGAGTCTCGAGTTTTTAGAGAGAGAAAGTGAGAGAGAGGTGTTTGCTTTTTGGTGAGAGAGTGAGTAAAGTGGAAGGAGAGATAAGGTTTTCCAGCTTTTGATCAAGCTATCTTGCTGGAGGGGAGTGTGAGAGGACAAATAGTTGACTAGGTAGAGAGGAATAGTGACTGGAGGTTGTCATAAGTAGGTGTGGGAGGTAACTTGTGTCATACTTTATGAAAAGTCAACACTCTAACCCAATATCTTCCACAGAAGATATTATTCTTAGATGAAGGTTTCCCCCCAAAATGTGATTAAAATATGAATATATAGGGTCTTAAAAGCCAAAATATGAGTTTGGATGAAAATCCCATGTTAAAATCATGAAAAACGAGCTTAAAACGCGAAACTACTCGAAAACCGGGATCAAGAGGCGAAGTTCCGAGACCAGGACTGAAGGTTCAGTCCCATGGGGTGAGAACCGAAAGAGGTTTTGGTCAAAAGGGCTAGAACCGAAGGTAGGTTCGGTCCTAAAGACTTGCACGCGAACTTGGTGTAGGAGGGAACCGAAAGTAGGATGGAACCGAGAGCCGAGGGTTCGGTCCAATAAGGCTAGTTTCGGTCCTTTAAGCAACTTCGGTCCCATGCAGCTTCGGTCCTAGAGGCAGGTTCGGTTCTAATGGTAGGTTTTGGTCCTTATAGCAGGTTTCAGTTCTTATTGCAGGTTTCGGTTCTAAGAGTGGTTTCGGGTCTAGGTGGCTTCGGTTCTTTAAGGGAGGTTCGGTTCTATTAGGGTTTCGGTCCCTAAAGCTAGTTTCGGTTCTTTATGGCTGATTTTTGAGAAATCTTCCCGTTTCGAGTGGTTTTTGACTAAGTTATGGGTCCGGATGCCCCGAATGATTATAAAAAGTTGAAAGAGATTTTGAGAGAGATTTGGGAGAGAGAGAGAGATAGAGTGAGAGAGATTTAAAGAGGCTTTGTTTGTGACCTTTGTGAGTGTTTAGCCTCGAAATGCAAGGTTTGTAAGCCCCGGTAAACCTTGTTATGAGTGTTATACGCCCCCGTAGGGTATGTAATAGTATTTTATCGAGTAGTTACATCATTTACCCTGATTAGGGTTTAGGTTTTCCAACCACGGGAGAACCCTAAGTGATATTTTGCATTAAGATAGTGAGTTGTACAATAGTAAGCATAATGTAAACCCTAATATACGAAGGTTAATTGAGTTGACCAGTTTGACTTGTTGATTTTATTTGACTTTGACTTGACCAGAATTTGACGGTTGTCACATAGGAGAGATGGAGAAATCAGATGAGCGAGTGAAGTGGTGTGATGGACCTGTTTTCTCGAGGGTTCATGGTGACATTTAACACTACGGCAAAGGAGAGGAAGAAGCTTTGATCTATGGTGGTGCATCTCCATCGATGTTTCGAAATGATTAGCTTATTTCTCCGGTGTGGTTGAGTCTAGACACCTCTAAGCTTCTCTTTTCTTTTGTTGTTTCACTATCGTCTCCACTAGTTAGTCTGAATGTCGTTCCAGGCGGAGAGAAACGGGGGAGGGAGAGCCGAGTATACAACTTTGGTTTGATTCATACAGCAAGTGTCGATCTCAGTGGGCTGCATCTCCACTCGAAGAAGATGCCGACTGAAGGGTAAATGTTCTTACCCATTGTGTATTATATGAAAAATAGGGTCTGATATGGTCAAATAGAAGAATAGGTGGACCATGTCTATATGAATTTTACATTGTGCATATGTGATACAATTGTGTACCAACTCTCGTATCAGATTAGGTTAGACATGGAAGCTTTAAATAATGAGAATAACTTTCGGTTTGTTTATATATGAGTAACTATCTTTTTTGTACACATCTAGGTAACAAATTTGTTGGAAGTGTTCACATATGACCTGCTGTAGCAGGTTACATCGGCTACAACAGGTCATAATGGTCATATGTGAACACTTCAACAAATTTGTTACCTAAATGTATACAACAAATTTGTTATCTAGATGTATACAAAAAAATAGTTACCCAAATATGAACAAAACGAAAAGTAAGAGTAAATTACACAAATGATCCTTGTGGTTTGGGGGAAATTATACGTTTGGTCCCTAACTTATTTTTTTAACTTGGATGGTCCTTACTGTTTATTTTTGTTGCGCGCTTGGTTCCTGTCTTACCTAAAAAGACTAATGTGCCCTTATTAATTTATTTTTTTTAATTAATTTTCTTATTTTTGTATTTATTTTTTTAATATTAAAAAAATAAATACAAAAATAAGAATAATAAGGGCACAATAGTCTTTTTAGGAAAGACAGACCAAACGCGCAACAAAAATAAACAGCAGGGACCATCCGAGTTAAAAATATAAGTTAGGGACCAAACACACAACTTTCCCCAAACCACAAGGACCATTCGTGTAATTTACTCTTACTTTTGGTTTTGTTCATATTTGGGTAGCTATTATTTTTTGTACACATCTAGGTAACGAACTTGTTGAAAGTGTTCACATATGACCATTATGACTTGATGTAGTCGGATGTAACCTGCTACAACAGGTCATAATGGACAATTGGTCATATGTGAACATTTCCAACAAGTTTGTTACCTAAAAGTGTACAAAAAAAAAATAGTTAGCCAGATGTGAACAAACCGAAAAATTAATTACCTTAATAAGTCATATTCCCTATTCTATCTAATAAATTAGATTATTTCTAATATTTATTGCTTTAAGCTTGTCCTCGCGCGACTTATGAATTCTGATCTCACTTTTGGCATCTTTGGTTTTTATGAAACCAGTAGACATTGACAATAAACCTCTGAAAACATAAAGTAAAGGCTTCTTTCTGACAAAAAAAAAAAAAAAAAAAAAAAAAAAAAAAAAAAAAAAAAAAAAAGACTTGATTCAATTATTGTAATGAAAAAAGGGTTAGCCTTGTGTACTTTGATATACAAACATGGAGGTAATATAGTCTAAATGAGCGAGTGGCATATACAACAATGTTGGTTTTGGTTCTACTGCCCTAATTGTTGTGTCTCTGATCCTTGGATTTTGTAGTAGTGGTGTTGATACATAGAGGAGCTGGTGTTGGCACAGGTATACGACTTGTCACACTCACAACACATTGCCTCATCATTTCAAATAAAACCCCTACCAACCCATCCATCTCCACATCGTATTGCTCATAAACGAACAACAAACTAAACAAAAACCCCAACCCTGCATCGCCACATAGTCAGACCAATATATATATAATCCATCGCCATTACAAAGTCGAAAAAAAAAATAATAATAATAAAAGTAGAAATCCATACCTACTCCCATTGATGTGGGGAAGGAGTTCACCACCAGCAACTTGAAAAAGTAGATTGACAATACGACCTTGGAAAACAAAGTCCAGTCATTTCCTTGTGCCAATGATCTAGCCACATCACCTACTCCATTCCATATGTTTACCATGCTTCTAACACAGCTCCTCATACACGTTTCAGACACCTCAAAACATGGTATTGTCCTCGAGATCGAACACACCGACCTATAATCATACATTTATTTATTATAATCCCATTATATATGTATATGTATATGTATTTTAAAAAGTTGTTGAAGAAAGGCTTACACTTTAGGTGACAATCTAGCACATCCATACACTGTTGGTGAGAGTTTAGCATATCCAGACACCACTACTATCATCAGCAGCAAAAGCTCAGCAGTAGAGGAGATCATCATTCTTTCACATACACAAAACCAGTAATACACAAAACCAACTCCAACAAACCATAAGAATGATCTCCTTTCATTTCTCCACAATAAAATTTCCGCAACTGCATCATTAAAATTTAAAACACAAAATCATAATTACAGAAACGGTCCCTGTGGTTTGGTGAAACCTGCAGTTTCAATCCAACTTTGGATTTTCTTGCACTGTTAGATATAAAGTGACCATTTTAACCATATTTTCTCAATGTGTTGTTTCTAATATTAATTTGGTCACTGTGGTATAAATAATATTAACTTCTAGTTTGGTCTTGGTCATATTTTGGAAACTAACATCTGAGTGCAACTACATTTAGACTCAGGGACCAAAACCACAAAAACTTAAAGCCATGCAAGAAAACTCTAAATTGGACTGAAATTTAACCACAGGGACCATTTCTGTAATTTACTCTTATAATTAATTAGCATGGTGAGAAAGGTAATTCTTTGATTGTTTACCTTGTCCACCCCCTAGCAGCTCCTCCACTTTTGATTGTTCAATTAAGTCACCAAGCCTTGTTGAAGGTAAATCTTTAGCTAGATGAGAGAATGATTTGACAGTCAATGCAATACCATCCTGCATGCATATTCAACAACCAATCACAAAACATATGATTAACGGTTTCTTTCTTTTTGAGTTAATGGACTTAATCTGGAGAGTTATACATGGGTGTTTCTTTTTGACTTAATCTGAACCAAATGAGTTAAAACCAACCATTTACCAATTTGCCTTTCTTTTACCCTCTCAACTCAACTACTCTCACGTCAAAATTGATGAATATTGTGATAACAGATGCTACATAAGTAACAGTGTATTTTTTTTATTTTTTTTTAAGTAACTGTAAGAAAGATAGCATGAATTTAGAGGTGTAGAACCTATAAAACTTACATCCAGTGAAACGATTGGGGAGTAGTCAATATAGCGCTCAGCTGCAGAGCAGTTATAAGTTGTAGTGTGTGACATTAATTGGACTGTATTGTAAACTGAAACATTCTTAAGGTTTCTGGAGTTCATATTTGAATGCATCCATTTTATCACAAAAACAATCAACTGCACAACCACACCTGGAAGTTTGATCACTGGCCTGCAGTTATATTATATGACAAAAAAACAAGAAGCAAGTTTCACAAATCATCACAAACAAAAATAAATAAATAAATAAAAATTACCTGTAATAACCTAACCCCTCCAGCATACACAAGGCAAATTGCCAAGATTTTGCAGGCTCAAAATTAGTAATGAAGAATACCTACAACATATATACATATCATTTAGCCATTGATGTCACTGAAGAAGTAAGAGAAATAATGGTACCTTTCCAGACACAATGAGCATGCGAGAAGACAAAGCAGCTTCAGCACAGATAAGGGCATGGGCGACATTTTCCACGTATGTGAAGTCAGAAATGGTCTGATCACTTCCTATAATAAACTGGAATGAGAGACTCTATTACTTATATAAAGAAGAACCAATAAAGAAGAACCAATAAAGAAGAAACCAAATGCAATTATTATTATAAATGCAAAATATACCTTTGCCCAACCAGATTTTGCAACTTCAATAAGAGATGGCAAAAGAAGCTTGTCACCAGGTCCAAAAACATTGCTAGGGCGAAGAGAACATGTAAGGAGCCCCCCATCAATGTCATTAGCAAGCAAAACAAATGCCTCTGCTTGAGCCTTCAGTTCACTATACAAGTTCTTAAACTGTGTAATGTGACACCAAACATAATCATTACAATAATCACAAGAATACCTTCATAAGGAAATATTGAAATGATTTTCAGATGATTACATACTTTGGATGAGTATAGTAATGTCTCATTTCCACTGCATATATCACGTGATTTATCAATCACTACATCTGTAGTACTGTTGTATATTAGCCGATGAACTTTGCATCGTCGACAGGCATTGATGACATTTTTAGCACCTAAGGAAATACAATGTATATATATAAGAAAAAAGAGATATAAGTTATGGTTTCAAATTACAACATAGCATCATCTTATGTGAAGAGATGATTAACCTTGAACAATTATTGAGTAACCAACATAGAAATCATTATTGCAAGAATCGATATCATCCATGTAGAATACGACTTCTGAACCTTCGATAGCTGCAAAGAAAAAGATATTAACTGAATGATATAAGTTAAGCCCTTGTCCTGAAACATAGGTTATAAAGACACTTATATAAAGCACAAGTACAACAGATAGACAGAAGAGCCTTTGTGCTATTTTCCACAATTTGCTATATACATAGCATAATGATCACTAGTATATGCACTGATTACACAGATATCACCATCAAGGTGCCTGAAGCTTTTCATTGTATGGATGTTCATTTCTTCCGTTATTCTTGCCTTAAGCAGGGTGTTTAGTGTTACAATTTCATTTGAAAACTTTGAAGTACGTACTCACCAAAAACATTGATGAATTACATCAAGAACGGTTGCATTTGTGATGAATCGCATCAAGAAGCAAAATTAGAAAAGAGAAACAAATTAAACCAAGTAACAGAAAACTCTAGAACACAAGAGGTACCATTAGTGATTGTAGCAAAAAATTCAGAACACGGAAAACGAATTGCATCAAGTAGTAAAGATTTCCAGAACAAAAAATGTACCATTAATGATTGTACTTTTGTGGCGAACATCAACGTGTGCATAGGAAGCACGACCAGTAGAGAGAGCACGGTTAAGAGGCGAGTCGTGCTTGGACTCGGAGGGATCGAGTTGGAGAGTCTGAGCGGAATCGGCAACTCGTACGATCCAATTACCTAGTTTCAATAACCTCACGACGAGACATCTTCCAATGAAGCTTCTGCCTCCGAGGACGACGCAAGTTTTCGACTGGTCGTCATCAATCGCCATCCTTCTCTCTCTCCACTTTCTCTCTCAAGATTAAAAGAGAAGAAGTTAGAGAGAGAAAACATGAATGTATGATGTTGTAGGTTTGGAAAATCGACGATTCCTTTAGGCTTTGAAGACGGAGAATGCGACGACGGTGGTCGGAAATTGGCGCCGGAACACCCAAATGCAACCAGGAGATGCTTCGTAGTGGGCCCCGAGTTTGTTCGGAACTAACTTTATGCATTTCAGTTTTTCCTTGTAAAGGTAACAAATTAATTTTTTTTCCTAATATTGTAAAATTCTGTATTATTTTTCTTTACTAATTACTTGATTCGATGTTTTAGGGATAACTAGACGTGTTTATGAAAATGAATAAAAATATGTACACAAATTTTTCTTTACTAATTACAGTATTATAGACTGTATATTCATCTAAACAAATATGTACAAATATTGGAAAATGAAGTTATCAAAAAATCTTAAATTAAAATATAAATGAAAATGTAAAAAATTTAAAAAATATATTTTTGTGAAAAAAAATATATCTAAAAAAATTTATAAAAAAAATCCTAAAAAAATACTCTTAAAAACATATATAAATGTTCTTTTAAAAATATTTATTTGTTTTTCTCTTCATCCTTATACATAAACTCCATATATACTAGAGATTAGAGAAGCATCATTACTCGTATCTCTCATCTTTTGTCGGTATTCTCTGTTTTCTGTCTATTTTCTTTTCTTTGGTTCTCTCTGTTATCTTATCTTCCATTCTACCTCCTCTTGTTTTTTTTTCCAAATGTAAAACACAACCTCAAACCAAACTAGACCTAAACCCTTTCAGCTTTGAAAACCAAATCATAGATCCTTAATGGCACTCGTCTTTCTTCACCCTCATTTATCTTGTAAACATTTGACATGATTATGAAATTTGGGAGTTGTATAAATTTGGGAGATGTATAGTTGTTTGCGGGAAAAATGACATATTAGCCAAACATTGTATTCGAATATGCATTTTCAGTCATTTAACTTATTTACGTGCTTTCTGAAGGAATGCAATTGTTTTTGTCGAGTCTGATTGGTCACTTTGGACAAAAAGGAATGGCTAACCTAATTACCCTTTTGCCACACGGACAAGTGTTAACCCACCGCCACTTGATCCGTCGCTGTTTTCAAGATCTCAAGTTCTAAATTAGTCCACGGTCGGAAATTTCCTCCGGGAAGAACCAACACTAATACCGCATAAAAAACTTGAACCACCTCCGGTGTGCCATTCTTGAAGTCCGCCACACAAAGTATCAGCATTCTAATCGCCGCTACACCTCCTGACGGATCTAACCCACCCGCTGCTCAACGCCGAAAGTCTTGATTCACGATCGAGTAATTTCACCACTTTGCTTCTTTTAATCTCTTGCAAGTCATAATCTTGAACCGGGATGTAAAAATTGTTGATTGTTAAATTTTGTTCAACCCCTTTTAACCGATGGATCGAATTCAATGCTATCATACAATTCATTGACCAAATTATTTAGAGTTTTTAGAAGAAAGTTCAAATATTGAACCCTATTTGAAATGAATTTGTGAGAGGGTGGGGGGATATGGTATATTTCTTATTCCTTATCACAATTATTCAGATCCAGTCATTCAGCTCAAAATACAATAAGATATGGGCATGATCTACAATATCAGCATAACATTCTTCCTCAAAGATTGTCTAAAATCAACAAGGAAATATAAAGCGAAAAACAACCAAGGAAATCAAATTGTGCAAGTCAAAAAAGAAGAAATAAGGAGGTTGCTTGTATGATAATTACGCGAGGTTTATTATTAATAATAGATAATGGAGAATATCATCAAGAAAAAAAATCAAAAGAAGATAATTCAAAGGATCAGCGATTGAATTCTAAAAACGATTTGAATTGAGGAGAGATGGATGACAGAGAAAGAGAAAATGGGTTAACACAATCATTTGTTCTTGTCTAATGTGTATGGTTCGATAAGAAATTACAAGGATTTTTTGTTAATTGTTATAAAATGCTCTTTTCTCTGTCATTCTCTCATGTTATCAAATTGCTCTTTTCTCTGATGTGATTGGCCTATAACAAATTTGTCGATCCGGTGATCCTGTCGGAGTTTGGAAAATCAAGATAATTGTTCAAAGCAGAGTAATATATATATATATATATATATATATATATATATATATATATATATATATATATATTACAAAGGAGGCTATTATAACAATTGGAAATTTTCCGTCACCAATTGTCACTAGATATTAACATTAACCGATGATAAGGATAAAACTTTTCATACTGAAGGAAAATATGATCAGTTAAATGATAATAATAGGATAAAAAAATGAGTGACCAAAAAGTTATATCATTTTTATAACGGTTATTATATTTGGAAAGTACACAATAAAGTGATTCCAAAGATATAAGTGTTGCAAAAAATTAATTATGATCGTAGGAGTTATGATTTTATAAAAGATAAAAACCAATCGCGTTAATAACGCTATTAACGTCAATATAGCATAAAGAAATCGGTTGAGTTTCAACTAACGACACTAAAGGGAAATTCATAGTACTCTGAGAGAAAAGGACTTTAAAAGGAAAAAAATTCAAAACGGAGTTCGTATGAAGGAGATATGATTTTTAGAAAAATGTAAAATACGGGTTAAAAGTGACAGTCAAAATTTGGTAATGCGACCTTAACGAAAGTTATAGTACTAGCAGAGAGCTACACAAATATATAAAGAGGGTAAGAAACAAGATTCATATAAGGAAGATACGAATTTTTATAACAGATTTAAGGGTGCACGCTAAGTGCACGCCATGCCCGTCGTGCACACCTGACACCCAGATTCGTCGAAGATTAGGGAGACGTGGACCATCAGAAGTGTGACACGTAGCAAGCTCTGGATGGAGCCACGAAGCGAGTGCACGTCGCGCATGAAGTGCACCGCACGCACAACTACTATAAATAGAGGTGCTCACTTTCTGATTTTCTCATCCTAAGCACTCTCCCCAAACCCTCCATATACCTCTCAAGTTGTTTCGGAAGTCCTCCCAATGACGCGAACTTCGAGTGCAATGGCTTGGATGCTTCAGAATACACTACTAGAGTGAGTTCACGACCCTATTTCACTATTTTTAATGTTTTACTGGTGGAATACATGTTTATCAAATGGTTTTATCAAAATATATTTATGTCCATAATTGTCAAATCATTTCATAAAGCTTAAAGCCATAGGATAATGTAGTCATAGATACTATGCCTAGTTGTAAGCTATGATATTAAGTTTAAGAGTTATGATGTCCGATAATAGGAAGAGATAATACCTAGATGTTATAATGGCCAAATCCCTATGATAACGTAGTACATAGAAGTTATGTTGGTCAGATGTAGAGATATGCATCGTACCTAATTCTTACTCTGTCCAAATATCTTGTTTTCAAATAACCATAATTAGAGAATATATATATATATATATATATATATATATATATATATACATACATATATATATATATATATATATATATATATATATATATATATATATATATATGTGAATACTTATATATACAAAATAATTATGAGATCAAAAGTTATAATTATCAAATATAAGATAAAAGATTTATTTTGTGATAGTTATAGGAAATCCCTAAGAATGATAAAAGATAAAAGATAGGAACCAAAGGTTAATGTGTTAGTGAGCTGACAATATTCATCCAATGGCCTTGATTAAATTTGGCATTCCTCGGTACCTATAATCGTTAATCTTGTGAGAGCTAGAAAGATGTGTAAAGATCTATGCGGGGTTTGACACCCCCACCTGCGATTGTTAGCTACAATCCCGATAGTATAACTTTCTTATTATTCACTATTCGATGTCCGATGAAGCGTTGTTGCGGGGCAAATTATTAGTCGAACAGCGTCGATTATGTGGGCTCATGGTAATACATTCCAAAAACTTTAGAGATCTGACTACCATTAGGGACATCTTAGAATGGTAGATAAAATATGTTAGGATCATTAGATATCCTACAAAGATAAAAAAAATTAGGATTAATAAAATATCCTAAAAGACAATAAGATAAGACCTTTAGATATCTTGTAAAGATAGTAAATTAGGATTAATAAAACATCCTAAAAGTCAATAAGATGGGGTTAGTAGATAAAGAGGTGATATAATAAGACATAGGAAACTAGGACTCTAGGAAGGTAAAGATTTCTAAAAAGTTTTCAAAGAGTTTATTATACTTTTACCTCAAAACTTGTGAACTCATCAACATCAAGTTGACATTTTCAAAAATCACATGTGTTCCTAGGATGGAGTAGAAATCAAAGCCAGGAAAGGATTATCGGCATGAAGACTTGTAGATTCTTGTTTAGTTAAGGTAAATTATGATTGGCGCTTTATGATTTGGGAAATCTATGTACTGTCATCACTCGGCATTTTCTGCCATCGGCCGGGGAGGGTGTGACAGATTGGTATCAGAGCTAGTTGTTGTTTTGGTTAAAAATTACATAAGTGAAACTCAACCAAATTGTATGAGAGGTTGTGATATTCAGGGTAAAGCGAGTACAAGATGATAATCAAAGTAACACAAGTGGTTTACAAGGAAATCCCTTGATCCTTGCTCGGATCTCCGACACAAAACCTTGGGAGGTGATAATGATCACCTACCTTGATGATTTTATTGATTAAAAATGTTGATTATAGAGATGAATGTGTAAATGTAAGTACAAGTATCGTAGATGAACTAATCGTGTGTGTTGTGTGTGTAATACAAGTGTTATTTATATTCTAATGCTAATAACAAGAATTTCGACAATTTTGGGATCCTCCGAGAATCAGCATATGAACGTTGTTTGACTTGGTATTCCGGGTCTTTTGCCTGGTTGAGACGATTCTATGTTGAGAATAAGTCTTTCATTGACTAATTTTGCACACGTGTCAATAAGAAATGAGATTATAACCGTTATAGGTGTTAGTAAATAATAACCATAATAATTAGGATCTTGAGATGTGTTTAAGGATCCTGAGGCTTTGGAAATATTGAGGATCCTGAATGTAATTTTGGGATCATGGCCCTAACAATTACCCCCAAATTATTCCTACTATTAAAGGTTAGTTTATCCAATATTAAAGGGATAATTTAGGTAAATTAAAAATAATTAAAAGAAAGAGATAGTAAATTTGAATTTTAAATCTTAAGTGGATAGGATTTATCCGATCAAGA